CTCCGCTCTTCGACCAAGTTGAGTTCGGCCAAGTGATCTTCCTCATTCTGCTGGGGTTGATAATTTGACTCCCGAAACGTGGGGAATTCAGCTTCGATGGGCAGCCTTGCTTCACACCCATAGGTTAGGGAGAATGGAGTTTCCCCATGAGCCCTCCTGGGTGTTACTCGGAATGCCCATACGATGTGTGGGAGCTCTTCCAGCCACTTGTTCCCGGCTTCTCCCAGCCGTTTCTTTAGACCATCCACAATTGTTCGGTTGGCGTTTTCGACTTGGCCATTCCCTTGGGGGTATGCCACCGAGAAGCGATTGTGCTTGATCCCGAAGCCCTCCAAGTATTCAGTGAAGCTTGGATTTCGGAATTGTGGGCCGTTGTCGGTGATGAGGTTCATGGGCGCTCCAAACCTCGTGATGATGTTCTTCCAAATGAATTTCTTGCATTGTTGTATGGTAATGTTGGCCAATGCTTCGGCCTCGATCCACTTGGTGAAGTAATCGATGGCTACGATTACAAACTTCTTCCCTCCTTGGGCGACTAGAAAGGCTCCAATGATATCAACCCCGAATCTAGCGAATGGGATGACATTCGATACGGGGTGGTAGTAGGCCGCCGGTCTACCGGGATATTTGTAGAATACTTGGCACGTCCTGCATTTCTGGACGTACCTTTCACAATCCTGCACAATTGTTGGCCAATAATATCCCATCAAGATGATGCGTTGGGAAAGCGTACGGGACATTTGATGCGCCTTCGTGGACCTCCGCGATGACTCGCTCAGCCTCCCGGTTGGTTAGACATCTCAGGAGTGGCCCCCCAAATGCCCTTTTATACAGCTTTCCATCAAGAATCTGGAATCGGGGTGCCCTAAGCTTCACTTTTCTTGCCCGGTCATCTTGTTCTGGCAAGCTCCCATCCATCAAATATTCCATCAGATCATACATCCAATGGTCGTCCGCCCCGACCAAGTTTGACCGGTCAAATTGGCTTCCGGCCGTTATAGCGGCGACTTCCAATCTTTCGATGCTTGCACAGTCAAGGATATCTACCCAGGCAAGTTTTGAGACATGCTCGGGAGCATACTGCGTCAATTTGGAGAGAAGGTCTGCATCCGCGTTTTCTGCCCGGGGAATTTGGGCGATCTTGAACTCTTCGAAGCCTCTCAACAGGGCAAGTACAAGGTCCTTGTATTGTGCCATGCGTCCTTCCCTTGCTTCCATGTTACCGGTCACCTGCCCAACTAACAGGCTAGAGTCAGATTTGATACTGACCCGGCTGATTTTCAGGGCTTGGGCAAGTCTGAGCCCTCCAGCCAGAGCTTCATATTCTGCCTCATTGTTCGTCAGTTTGAAGTTGAAGACGATTGCATGGTAGATCTTGAACCCTTCTGGGGTGGTGAGCACGATACCACCCCCGTATCCTCTAGGACCGGATGCCCCGTCAACTGCCATCTCCCACCATTGCTCAGTGGGCCTGTTGACCGGTAAGTCTAGAGTTAGACCGGTCATTTCTACTAGGAAGTCAGCTAGGGCCTGTCCCTTGATTGCTGACCTTGGCCGGTACTCAATATTGAATTGAGTTAACATCATTGCCCACTTCACCATCCTCCCGGAGGATGTTGAATTTCGCAACATTGCACCCAACGGTTGGTCAGTTAAGACTTCTACCGGGTGAGCTTGGAAGTAGGATGTTAACTTTTTCGCGGAGATGAAAAGCGCGTAGGCTGTCTTTTCCATCGCCGTATATCTACTCTCAGCCCCGTTCAGTGCTTTGCTCACATAATAAATGGGCTTTTGTGCCCCATCATCTCTTATTAAAACGGAGCTTACAGCGTTTGGGGAAATTACCAGGTACAGATACAGAGTTTCACCCGGTTCGGGTTTAGACAATACAATATCCGACGCTAGGTACTCTTTCAGCTCCTCGAATGCCCTCCGGCATTCTTCGTCCCATGCAAATGTGTTGGCCTTCTTCAAAACTTTGAAGAAGGGCAGGGATCTCTCAGCTGACCGGGAAAGGAACCGGCTGAGGGCCGCTAAACGACCGGTCAACTTTTGAACATCCCTAACGGAGGTAGGGGCTTACATTTCAGTGATGGCCCGGATTTTCTCTGGGTTGGGCTCTATCCCTCTCTTGGTCACCATGAATCCCAAGAACTTCCCGGTACGAACCGCGAAGACGCATTTCTTAGGATTCAGCCGGAGGTTGTACCTTGCCATGATATCGAACGTGGCTCGCATATCAGCCGGGTGGTTCAGAGATACCTGGCTTTTGATCAGCATGTCGTCGACGTATGCCTCCATGGTCTTTCCCAGTAGTGGCTTGAAGAGCTTGTTCACCATGCGCTGGTAGGTTGCCCCCGAGTTCTT